AGTTCCTCATCTGTATGCTCCGGCTCAAACAGGTATGGCTCTGGGTCTGTGTCCGCTACAAGAAACTCTTCAAAATCGCGTTCAAAGTCGTCCATTGCAGCTACCATAGTCCGGAGATATTGCTAGGCTAAATAAACAGCTGAGCTCTGTTTACAGGCTACGCTGTCAGTCAGTGTGCGGGCTGGAGATTGAGCAGAGAGGGGAGGGGGGTCCCCACTCAGTATGGTAAACGAGTATGTGTGTATGAAGTGTGTCTGTTACGCTAGAAGAGTAAGAGTTTGGGACGGAGTCTTTTACCCCCTGGAGTGTTACCGGAGTTTTTGGAGTGCTCAAATAAACTGGCCTTTTCCCCGAACGCTCCTCTGGTCTCCTGCTCGTGAGTGATTCATTACAATATCGTAACATGGTTTAGATTTCTAAATAAACATTCACCTCATCGCTAGATAGACCTACACCTGAAAAACTCGTGCGCAAGGCTTTTTGTCCCTACGAGGCCACCGTCATTTACCCGATGGGAGGGGTGAGCGAGTGAGCCCTGCAATCTAGAATTTGACCACTGATGTCACTGTTTTCAACCCATTTTACACACTGGCCCTTTAATACAACTTCATTCACATAAGACAAGCAGCAACTGCTGGGGCTGAAAAATAAGGCAATCGTAGGAGTGCCAAAAACTGCAGTTCCTCAAACAACCACTTGGGGCTAGCTCCAAAAGCAAGTCAGTCCCCATAGATCTCTTTGTTACAGTGCCCACCTTTACAGCAGAAATAAACATGTTCACAGCCTGGTACAAAAATGGTTTTGGTCTCATGACAACTGTACAGGTGGTAAAGTTTTAAATATCTCATCCTTTTACATTTTATTCGGGCTTAAAGATACGTATATTTAAGGGCTGAACCGCTTAGAATGTCAGGCTGTCTGTGAGGCTTCGCTAAATCTATGAGTCAGTTCCACTGCTTACTCCTCTACAGCTCCACTCTCTCATCTAGATATGGTCGATTCTGGCCCCCAAAAAACCAAGATGGCAACAGCCAAAATGCTAAACTCAAAGCTTCAAAATGGGAGTCACAAACTAATGGGTGACATCTCAGTGGCTATGTTAATTTTTTTAAAACAGTCTTTTGATGGAGTAGTACCTGTATACAGACTTTGATGTGTTATATCAGATTCCCTCCTGAGCTTTGAGCCACATCTCATGGCCTTCATCAGCAATTTATTTCTTACTCATGTCACATTGAGACAACTGAACCATCTTCATTAGTTTTCTGAAATATCTAATTTCATTTGTGCTATCAAACATTTTCTCTCACAAAAAAATAGCTTTGAAAAATACAGTATCAATGTTGTAAATTGTGATAACGCAGCATGTACTTAGAGTAAATGTGTACTGCAACATTAATGGAGTCAGAGGGTTCATCTGGCAGGTCAGGACTTTACATCTGGACTGATTTGTCTCGGTCATGACATAATGTTGGTGGAGTCGAGTTACAACTTTATTTTTCAAAAATCATCCAGTTGCCTTTGGCCTCACCTCTAGTGACATGAGACACACAAAAGCAGATTATTCTCATTTAGATGCTAAGAGAAAATACACACTATGATGCCTTTACTTTTCCTGATCTTGTGTAAACCTCACTTTTCTTTTTGACATTGAATTTTAAAATGCTTGAATTGTGACAACAGAGTAAACCCCAAAGGAGAGGGTGAGTCTGTTCAAATAAAAACACGTTTACCCTGCTGAAATGTGCACTTTGTTCTGTCACATTGCACAACACTTTGTAACTTTTTACTGAGTGGGACTCATTGAGAACTGAGGAGAGAAATATTTGCTTTATAACTGGATATAAGTAGAAATTTTCCTCAAGAAAACTCCACACACACAACAGTTTTCTGCACAGGAGACTGACCTGAGAGGCTAGACTGTGTTTCTGTATCATGCTGCCCTCTAGCTTTCAGAGACACACTGTGCTGTGTGTTTAAGGAGTAAACATGGACAGTATGAATGAGGAAAGAATAATGAGATGCAGAGTTCAAACTGAGGGTTTCATTAGCAGGAAAATGTTGCATTTGACACCTAGATATATGTTTATTTTCACAGGATGTAGGTGAACTTTATCAGAGAGGAGGAACTTAAAGATACAAAAGTTAAAATAAGAACAGGAGAAAGAAAAAGGACTGTGTTGGTTTATTTAGACATTAAAACAAGTTATTAAAATATGAGCAAGAAAATAGATTTTTTTTCCATTAAGTCCTACTTTTTTATTGCTTTTAAATTCTTATCCCACTTCCTGTACCACTACCAGTGTTTTGTAACATTAAAAACGTTCTACATAATATTCATGTAACTGACATGAACAAGCATCACAACAGTTCCATATATTTATACACGGATGTTGGGTAAAATTTTAAAAAATCTGATTAACTGGGGAATGAAACACTCAGAAAAGAAAACACATACAGTAATTCACAGAGCCTGTTTCACCAATACATATATATTATACTTATTATATTTGAGTTTTTTTAGGCTGTGTCTCTTGGATGCCTGCTCCTTATGGTCTGGGATCTGGTCGCTACCTTTTTATAAAGCCACAACCTCACCTGAGTGAAGTTTTAGACCAACATATTACTTCTAATAATAATCATTAATATTATAATAATTATAAACATACTGATCATAATTTTCACTTCACCTCAGTCGGTGCAGCTTACAGCTACAGAGGTCCTGATTGGATTTGATATAATCTGACAGGACAGGTCACACACTTGTTCTAGGTCGTCTCACACATGTACGAGCCGAGACAAACCAACTACTGAGTTATATGTCTGTATCCTGTATATATGAAGCAGTGATACTCACTTGGTTCCTCATGGACAACTTTTCTGCCTTTTGGATGTAAACAAAAGAGGAAGTGATGAAAGGATCTGGGGCTGGGGCATTTTGGTGGAGAAGATTTGCCTCGGGGAGAAGCAACACCTGTCCGTCTCATCGATGCATGGTAGGAGTCCTTTAAAAAAAACATTTGTGTATGAGGAGTATGAAATAACATGTATGAGCAAGAGAATACAGAACAAGTACATCAAAATGTCAACAATCAGGTTGAGTGAGTTTTTCGAAGTAATTTAAAAGATGATACCCTAGTTAGTAGCATCTAACTAGTAGTTTTCTGTATCTGACATGACAGAAGTAGCATACATGAAAACAAATATTGCTTTAGACAATTAAACATGTGCACCCTGTATATTTACACATATTTTTCATTTAAGAAAACCACACTCATTCAAGCTCCTTAATCGTCCTAAAAAGTTGCTGTAGATCTAGATAGTATTTTCAATATACATGACATGCAGATTCACCAAAAAACCAACAAAGCCAACGTGAATTTGTCTTCTCTCAGAGACATGAGGATTACGACACAGTACAGGTATGAGAGTAATAATAACCCTGACTGAGCCAGGTACAATGTCTCAAGTCTAAAGACACTAAATCGGCTCTTGCAAGACCTTGGTTTCCATTGAAATGACTTTTAAAGCCATATCAAACATTTGTCAATCTTATCCTCCAATTTATGTCTGGAACATGTTTGTCTTTGTCCTTTCATGAGAAACTATATATCACAGTACAGAGGACAGGATGCTGTCTGAGAAAAGCAGTTATCTCTTTTTCTTCATGGCCTACCAAAACTCTTTCCAAATTGATTTTTATTCCTGACTCAACAAATTATGTGCACATTGCTGAATTTGTGCAGAAAGCGTCATAAGTAGAGAGATCGCGTATCAAGGGATGCCCTCATAATCTACTCTGCTAAAGTGTCCTTGAGCATCACATTCCTTTTCTATCAGCAACAAGGAAAGACAAACCCACACAGGCATCAAAATTTCCCTCCAAACCAGAGCCTGATATGATTCAGCATCAACCAGTCCAAGATTTATAACAAATTATACTACACTAACTACATCCAAAATAAACTCACTTCTACTTTTCTCCGAATCCATGGTTGTTCCAGGGAAGCAGCACCTTCAGACCGTCATCCTCCAGGTCCTTGTGAGCCCTGGAGGTCTTGAGCCTTGAGATGCTATCACAGCGACGTGCCTTCATCTTCTTCTTACCGCAAACATGGAAGCAGACACCATGCAGAGCTCCTGACGTCCACTCATCCTCCATTCCTCCTCCTCCTTGTCTTCACATCTCTCCTGTCAATGATTTCTCTGCATCCCAACTGTCTTCTGTTCCCACCTCCCCAGTTTTATCCCACCTCTCTCCTCTGCTTCCTCCATCCCTCCATGGCCTCCTGAGGTTCCTCCTGGTCCTCCTGGCCTCCTTCTGTTTACTGCCCTGCCCAGCACAGGCAGCATGGTTTCGTGTCGGGGTGGTGGGGCCGTGGGGGTGCGATCCTCTCTTTGCCAAGGCCCTCCCAAGTGTGGCAGCACAACTTGCCGTCAACCGCATCAACAAGGACCCGGCACTGGCCTACGCTACAACGTTCGACTACTCTGTGCTGCAGGTGCGATGTGACGGTGATCTCAGCTCCATCAGTCTGAAAATATTGTGACTGATTGGTACACTGATTGATTTATGGATGAACTGTCTTCTTTCAGGAGCCATGTGAGACATCACGGGCCCTGGAGACGTTCATTGGTTTCCACACAAAGGCCTCGGGATACATTGGACCAGCCAACCCCGGCTACTGTGATGCTGCATCAATGCTGAGCAAAGGCTGGAACAAAGTAGGTTGTGTTTCTCACGTTAGAAATGCTCTGTCTTTATCAAATGCGACATGTCCATTTTTACCTTTACTCTTTTCCTCTAGGCATTGTTTTCTTGGAGCTGTGTTGGCTATGAGCTAGACGATGTTCGGAGCCACCCCACCTTTGCACGCTCCATGCCGAGGCCCACCTGGGTGCTGCTCAGCATCATAAACTACTTCAGGTGGGCCCACATTGGCATCATCTCTTCCTCAGACGACGTCTGGGTTGAGACGGCCACCAAGGTTTGAATATTTTCTCTGATGACAGCTATTGGTTTTTTGTAGCAGCCTAGATGTTGATGAATCCAATAAGAAATGGAGGGGAAAAGTATCTGCCTCTGACCCGTACAGGTGGCTGACTCCTTGAGGAGTCACGGTCTGCCCGTCAGACTGATCAGTTTTATGGAGAACACGCCTCATGGCATCAGACGAACTCTGCACAAGCTACGCAAGATGAGGGAAATAAGAAGTGAGTTTTTGATCAGACATCTTAGTTCTTGAGTGTTAAAAGCTTTAAATCTGCAGCTTAGTATCACGTCTCGTCTTAGTTGTGATCCTCTGTATGCACTCGGCTCTGATCGGCGGTGGAGTCCAGAAGCAGCTCTTGGAGACGGCCTACGACATGCAGCTGATCGACGGCTCCCTGGTCTTTGTGCCCTATGACACCTTGCTCTACAGCCTGCCCTACCGCAATGTCACCTACCCAGCTCTGAAGAGGAACAGCAAACTGCTGCGGGCCTACGACGCCGTGTTAACCGTCACCATCAACTCACCCCAGATGTCCTTCTACGAAGCCTACAGCAAAGCCATGGAGAGGGGGGAGGTGGCCAAGACGCTGAAGCCTCACCAGGTGATGCAGGGGGCTGTACAGATTGGAGAGGAGGGCTCATGTGCACTGTTGAGATGCCCTTGAGCAAGGCAGTTTAATCTGACTGTGTGTCCCGCAGGTGTCCCCACTCTTTGGCACCATCTACAACTCCGTCCTCGTCATGGCTCACGCAGTTTATCGTGTTCGGGAAGCTGGGGAGTGGATGTCTGGGGGAAACCTGGCAAGACATACCCGAAACCTGGACCTCCAGGTACCAAGACAATCATAAATAAGACACAGTATCTAAGATATACAGGAATATACAGTAAATGAACCTGTAAAATTGAATTTATATTCAGTAGAAAAGTGTTTATTGTCACATTTTGGAGTCTAAAACAGGTACAAGGAAGTTTTGTGAATATTAAAACCAGTATATTAACAAATGGAAGTTATATAGGACTGGACATTTTAAATAGAACGTATTTGTAACTTGTATAAATACAATTTATGAGGAAAACATTAATTACTGCATGATAAGGGCTCCAAACCTTACTGAAGTAGAGGAGGAGAAAACCTTTTCTTCAAATATCAATATATCAGTATAGTAATAGTATAGTAGTATATAAAAATACATACATAAATAACATGTTGCATAACATAGGTGTCAGTGTTGAAGAAATATTCCAAAAGTATTTTAGCATTTTATTATATATTAAATAATTCAATTTATTCATTCAATTCAATTAGTAATTCAATGCAAGATTGACAAGAAACTGTATATAGCCTGAACAAAGACATTTCGGTTTTAACTGTTAGACTATATAGACTATATAGTATCGTATATAGTATATAGAATCACCCTTTGCCCTTTGACTGTACTCCAATTTTTACCATCCAGACTCAACACTTTAAGTTCCCTGGCCTGATGAAATGACAATAGAACATAATAAAAAACAGCTTTTACAGCTACATATCTTACTCACGTTGCAGGGCTTCAGCCACCCCATCAAAACCAACGGCTCTGGAGCAGCTCTGCTGGAGTACCTCATACTGGACACTGACGGACTCTCCTGGGAGCTGAAGCCAACATACAGGTATTTGAGGACTGACGTTAGACAGATTAAATATTTAATGAGGTAGGTGAAGTAAAGGAAAGTCAGACTAAGCTGATGATGATGTCAATAACCTTAACTTAAACACAGTAATGTGGGGAAAAGGTATAAAAGCATAAATAGAGTTCTGCAGTTTCAGTGCAAAGACTTTTGATAGAAATACCAACATTTTTCAGGTTGTGGTTTGGGTTGCATTATATTCTAAAGTTTGCTTATAGTCAGAGAATGGAGTTCCATCTCACATGCTATTTTTGCATTAATAACTTTATCATATTGATTAATGACAGCATCAATATAGAGACTGGCATGGTGCGTTTCCTGGGTCGAGAAATCCACTTCCCTCGCTGCTACAGACCCAGGAAGGACTCCTCCTGCTGGTTTACTCCTGGAGTCATCTGCTCAGGGGGTAAGGAACCCATACACATAAAAATATATACAGTGTACTTCCATGTGTGCATATGCTGGATGTTTAGGTTTGTTAATTTATGACTTTTTTTATCAGTTAATTATTTTTGTGTTAATCTTTTTTTTCTTCCATTTTTTGTATTTACTTTATTTTGACCATCATGTGGGTGGTTCTTGTTCGGGTTGTTTTGTAAAGAATTTCATTTTATAACGTTCACCTTCCTTAAAACTAAGAGCAATAACTATATCTTTAAAGCCACAGTAACAAAAAAAGCCTTCCCTTTAAATGTTTTCCATCAAAACTCAGAAAATGTTTTCTTGTTTCAGGTGTGGATCTGTTCTCCACCATCAGCATGTTCCTCGGCGCTATGTTTGCCTCTGTTTTTGCAGTGGCACTTATTTACTGCATCAGGTACAAAGTCAACAGGAAGTTATGTTGGTCTGAAAGCTCTAGAAAATAATTACAACAAAATAAAATTAATTATGTCTAGGTAGAAAAATGTTTTAAGAACATTTGTGGTTGTTTGCAGTATAGAATAAAGTCAGGTTTTGTTTTACGTACAACTGTTAGTTACTGATGAATTCATAACAGTCTATCCTGCTGTCTCTTGTTGCCTAGGCGACGCATCCATCAGATCCGACTGCTTAAGGGTCCGAACAGGATCTTGCTGACTCTGGCTGATGTCACATTTATCAACCCGTCGCTTAGCAACAAGGTTGTACTCATTATAAAAGTAAAACTATGTAAGAGAAAGTTGTTTTACATGTTGATTTATTCATTTCAATTAAATACATGAACATTTCTTGCACACTTAAATGTGAAGATCGTGTGTTACTGTGACAGTGGTGGAAAGAAACTAAGTACATTTACTTGAGTATTCTTACTTGTGAGGTACTTTCTTGAGTATTTCCATTTTCTGTGAATTGTTATACTTCTACATCTCAGAGGGAAATATCGTACTTGTTGTTCCACTACATTTATTTGATAAATTTAGTTATAGATTCAGATTATGAATAAAAAACATCATCAACAAAGAAAATATGATTTATTATCATACATCAAGCTAGACAGCAGTGTATAAAGTAGTTAAACTTAGCCCCACCTTTACCAGCCAGAACATAATGCTGTGAAAACGGCCATTTTGTATGACCAGGACTTTATATTTATACTTTGTTGGTACATATACTTAAGTAAAATTTTGATTGCCGAGTATTTCCACACTGTGATACTGCTACTGCAAATGACAAATACTGAGGTTGCCTGTAACACTAGTTCAAAACTAGAAAACTGATCTTCCATCCTGACTTTGACTCCTCTACAGAAGCTGAGTCTGGATGACAGCAGGACAAGCGGCATGAGGAGCGTGTCAGAAATCACGTCGCCAGTTTCCACCCAATCCCCGGCCACCCACGAGAACACCAACGTCGTCATTTTCGAGGTGAGACAGTCTAAGATGATTTAACATGTACAGTTAAACAACACCACCCCTTACGTCCTTTCTAAACTGTGACGACCCAGTAGCCAAAAAGTCACGTCTTTGTTTCTCATTAGCTTCAAATATGGATGTATTGCATGAGCTCCCTTTCATAATAACCAAGACTATTTGACAAAGAAAGGATTTTAATGGATAAAGTTGCAGTCGATTTATGATAGACATACAGTACATGTAGAATTTGGGTTGCAAAATGTGCCACCTAAGTTTTTAGCCTACCATAACAATCTTCTAAAATTAGTATCTACCATAAACCTCCACTATAAACCTTTGGGAAGATTTCGTCAAGCTTAATCCTTCAATTTAAGGATAAACTTAAGTGGCGGCATCAGTTCAGTTCAGTAATGTACAGTACCTGATACCTGGTGTTTCTCTCCTCCAGGGTGACTGGGCATGGCTGAAGAGACTTCCCGATGGGTCGTTCAGCAGCATCAACCCCAAAACCAGCCAAGTGTTTGAACTGGTACGTGACAAGTAAAGAAACAAGTCATGAACAACACAGCTCATGACAGAAAACAGCATCATTAAGTGCTTTGGTTTTTGGCCGCAGATGAAGGACATGCGTCATGAGAATGTGAACCCTTTCCTGGGCTTCTTTCATGACTGCGGCGTGTTCGCCATCGTGACTGAGTTCTGCTCCAGAGGAAGTTTGGAGGACCTGTTGTTGAACGAGGAGGTCAAACTTGACTGGATGTTCAAGTCATCGCTGCTACTGGATTTAATTAAGGTCAGTATGGAGGAAGGGCGGGGCAGGAGCAGATAAGACAAGAGGGGGCGGTCGTGGCATGTGGTATTTTTAGGGCAAGATTGGTTTGTTTAAGGCCCTGTTTACACCTGGTATTAACGTAGGTCTTCGGTTATCCAGTCACTGGTGGACAGCTCTAGTCTGTCTGTTCACACCTGGCATTAGAACGTGTCTCCACATGCATCTTGAGTGACCACCCAACCACCCAAGATGATTTGGTTTGCCTGCCCATGCAGTGGACGTCAGTTGAGCAGGCGGTCCTTCAGTGTGGCCAAGGACGCATTAGTGTACACATTGTTGAAAGAATGTGGCCCTATGCGGACCAGATTACCTTCAAATATCAAGCAGATCTCAAGACACATTGAGGGAACCCGGACTCAGTCCAAAGTCATCGAAATCCGGCACTTGGGCAATGACTTGCAAAAAAAGCCATCCTTTCACGTCAGCATGATATGAAGCTGGGTGCTGTTATAGTTTAACAGCGCCTGGCGGCATCAGGGGGAAACGAGGCAGAACAAGAATGAAAATAAGGTGGCGAAAGTGCAAGGAGGAGGGGTGATGGATGGGTCCAACAAACACCAACTGGGCATCCTAGAATGCACAAAGCCTCCCAGGGTACCTTGCACTTCATATCTAGATGTGGAAAGTCCATGTCCAAATGTCGATATGTGATGAAGTCGAAGTGAGAAGGTGTTGACTGAGGACACAGAGGGTGCATTCATCATGCATCTGGACTTACATCTGTCCGGACAAAAGTTTACATCAAGGCTGCGTTCAACTGTGACAAAGCATAGCAAAACGTTTATTCAAACAAAAAAGGTGACGTGTTAAATCCTCCTTATGTTGTGGAAGCGCGCTGATAAAAAGGAGGATAAAAAGAAAAGACTTAACTTAAGAACAAGTATCTTATATTTGTGCTTACTTTCCACCACTGCTATAAAACAATCTGGCTTGTTTTCTGTCTCAGGGTATGAAGTACCTCCATCACCGCGGAGTGAGCCACAATCGTCTCAAGTCCCGTAACTGTGTGGTGGACGGGCGTTTCGTCTTGAAGATCACAGACTATGGCTACAGCGACGTTCTGGAGGCTCAGAGGTTACCCTACATGGAACAACCTGCAGATGGTGAGAGGATACAAGATCACATTTCTTGAACCATTTGTATGTTGTCACCACAGTAGAAAGCTAACCCAGCTCTCTGTGCTCCAGAGTTACTGTGGACGGCTCCAGAGATCCTGAGGAGCGGGAGGCCGGAGCTTTACGGGAGTCTGGCCGGAGACGTGTACAGCTTCGCCATCATCATGCAGGAGGTGGTGGTCAGAGGGCCTCCATTCTGTATGCTGGACCAGTCCGCCATAGGCAAGATAACAACCTCACAAACACACAAACAAACCTAAAAAGCACATTTTTCTGATCAGTATAAAACCCCGAATATTGCTTTTGTTAAATTTACAACTGCTGTTACATTTGATAACTGAGGACATCTACTCAAGTACTGAACATATCCATATCCTAGTAAACTACTCAGCAGCTTCAGCTGTATTGTGTTAGATGCAATTAGGAAAACATGCTAGCTCCCTGACTTAAGATGCTGAATATTAGCTGCTAAACATCAGTATGTTAGCATTGTCATTGGGCGGATATTAGCACGCTCATGTTAGCATTTAGCTCAATGTCTAACATGGCTTCTAGCATGGATGTAGACTCTCTCCAGTCTTGTTAATGTGTCTTCAGCGACTAAAATTTTAACTGGTTTGAGGTGATAGATGAACAGTCAGCGGATCACCACATTCACAAATGGTGCCGAGAGTCATCTCGCTCTCGGCACCATGAACACCTGCATTGAACAGCTATCACCGCATGTAATAGCTGTCTGGATATTTTGATCTGGAGAGTGTTTCACTGACTGACCTACTATATTGCCATCCTTACATAAAACTACTAGCATGGCTAACAAACAGTGACCACACACCTAACAACAGATGTTTCTCTGTGTTTTAGAAATAATAGAGAAGTTGCGTAAGCCTCCTCCTCTGTGTCGTCCCGTGGTCAGTCCAGACTACGCTCCTTTAGAGTGCATCCACCTGATGAAGCACTGCTGGAACGAACAGCCAGACAAAAGACCCAGCTTTGATGAGATCTTCGACCAGGTAGCTATTAAGTTTTGTAAGGTCGTCACTACATTTGGTTTTAATTTGAAAAAAGTATCTGTCTTTAAATAGACACAGAAGTGAGTTTGGGGGAAGCTTTAAATACTGGTGCTTCTCAGTTTAAGAACATCAACAAGGGGAAGAAGACCAACATCATAGACTCCATGCTGAGGATGTTGGAGCAGTACTCGTCTAACCTGGAGGAGCTGATCAGGGAGCGAACGGAGGAGCTGGAGATCGAGAAACAGAAGACGGAGAAGCTGCTGACACAAATGCTTCCTCCGTGAGTTAACATGGACAAACACACCTAAACACAAGTCAGTTGTATGTACATACATAAACACACGACTACACTGAGGGAAATTTGCACACATGCTTTACGTATGACATAAAAAGGCAAACTATCAAAAGAATAAGAGCTAGAAAGATAAGACGCTAAATGTAGAGAGCAGAATAACTATAGTGTAGGCACAGGGAATGTGAATAAATTAATTCAATAAAATGCATGGTATACTTAATGCTGCTTCACCATGTTTTGTTTTTCACAAAAGCTAAATAACAGTGTGAATCATTTCTCCACGACCTTATTCACTTCAAATTGGTATTTTCTCCTCCCCTGCAGGTCTGTGGCCGAGGCCTTGAAGGTGGGCGGTACCTTTGAACCGGAGTACTTTGACAACGTGTCGCTTTACTTCAGTGACATCGTCGGCTTCACCACCATCTCAGCCAACAGTGAACCTATCGAGGTGGTCGACCTGCTCAATGACCTCTACACGGTCTTTGACGCCATCATAGGAAACCATGATGTCTACAAGGTGCTGTGTTTTAATCTTTATTACATTAATATTGAGGCATTAAACCTGATTAGATCACATTGTTGCTCACTCTATTATATTCTTACTTAGGTGGAGACTATAGGTGATGCTTACATGGTGGCGTCAGGTGTTCCCGTTCCTAATGGCAACCGCCATGCTGCAGAGATAGCCAACATGGCCCTCGATATCCTGAGTGCCGTGGGAACCTTTAAAATGAGACACATGCCTGACGTTCCTGTCAGGATACGTATAGGACTACACACAGGTGAGGCAGGAAGGAGGAAAAATAGTTAATAAAAAAAAATACTTGGTCACTTTTTATCAATCGTGGTGCCCTGTACTGGGTAAATATAGCAGAAAACCAGTGCAGAATAAACTTTACCCTCTACTCATTGGTTTAAAAACCACTGGGTCTCTAATCATAGCCAAAACCTGGGTTGTTTTAGTGTTATTCATCTTATTTCTATCAGGTTATTCAGCCACACTAATATGTAGTTGTTTTTGATTAACCACAGAGAATATTTTTGATCAGTTACATGTTGGATAGGTTAATTTTGCTACTCTTCAGTTTACGGCACTGTGCACCACTGGTTCTGGTAGAAGCCAGCCAGTTAGCCGGTTATTTGGCTATTACCACTAGTAATGCCATCCAAACCCAACAGCGTTTCTATGGAAACATTGCACCCAACCTCCAGTCTCCCACCAGCTTGCCCCACTAAGTAAGTGGCTCAATTTTGAGCTGTAATACCCATTGTTGACAATGTTACCAGCATTGGCAGTGTCAACACAGCTAATGGTGCTAACATTGTAAAGAGTGCTAAAAGAGTTTTGCCGTTCAAAATAAAGATGCTTACTCACCTGGGTGAGCTGGGGAGAGACCAGAGGTTGGCACAATGTTTCTGCAGCAACGCTGTTGGGTTGGGACAAACGAGCAGTGGTGCTGGCTAGCTAATGTTAGCTTCCTCCCAACCTCGGTGGTGCACAGTGCAGAGTGGCCAAGAAACCAGTACAGACCATAGTCTAGTTAGTGGGCATGTCTCCACTGGTTAACAGAGCTAGCTGTCTGTCTGTCAGCAAAACAGAAAATAAAATAAAAGGCAAAAATTTTACATCACAAAACAATAAAATTTCACCACCTCAAAACGGATAGCACTTTGAAATGCGGTGCTAAAACTCACTGAGTCAGAGATGGGCCAGACTAAAAGGAAAGGCCTCTTTTTTTTCCTAAAAATTAACCACTTAGTAACCAGTTAATGGATGTTGGTTTCTCGAAAGCAAAGATAACCAAAACTGACATCCCAATATGAACCTGAAAATGAGTATAACAGGTCCCCTTTTAAAAATCCAGACCCTAACTATAACTTAGCCAACTGAACAAGTAATAGCTCTATGTGTGTGTATGTGTGTTTGCCTGTTATAGGTCCATGTGTAGCAGGTGTTGTAGGTCTCACTATGCCTCGCTACTGTCTGTTCGGAGACACAGTGACCACCGCCTCTCGAATGGAGTCCAGCGGGTTGCGTAAGTCACACACCTATGAAAAAAAATAAGTGTATATGAATAAAATAATCAGACATGAATGGCTGTTTTTGGCTGATCTGTGTATTAAATACTGTAAAAAGAACGTAACAAATGGCATATAATATAATCAATTCATTGGGTCACTTATTTTTCAAGTAAAGATTTCAAAATTTCCAGTTTCTTCTATGTCTTTGTCACAACCCTACTCAGAAACCACCTGAAAGCATGTTTTCTTGTACATTTTAATAATAATTAACAACCACCTGCAAATTGTAACATCCATTCTCTTTTCTGCTTTGTTGCAGCCTACAGGATCCATGTCCACCAGAGTACAGTGAAGGTCCTGCGGGAGCTAAATCTCGGCTACAAGGTGGAGTTGAGAGGCAAGACAGAAGCCAAGGTACTACACTGCTATTCAGACAGTGGAGATTTCTGCATGTGTATGAAGCACAGTCCGTCACTGCAGTCTGTCTCTTTCTCAGGGGAAAACAGTGGAGGAGACCTACTGGCTTGTAGGGAGAGAGGGATTTAACAAACCCCTTCCTGTTCCTCCAGAGGTCAAGTCTGGGTATGAACAGCTCTACTTTCTCCTTTATTCTCCTGTTTTTACTTTGCGCTCCCCTAACACCTAAGCTTTAACTCTCACCCAGCATGCACAGGTCACAAGTAGTCATTTTAGTCATTAGTATTGCATTTAAAAGTTGGTAGAAAATAGTACATCGCTTATCTATTGTCTGGTGGTTTATTTTCTGACTCCAGAGTAGAGCTTCTTTTGGTGGTTGAAACAGAAATAGAAACAAAGACTGAGTACTTAAAACAGTAAAAAAAGAAAATGAAGATTTGAGGCAGGGTTTTACGTGGGGTTAAAAGGTGGACCTATTTCCTGGCCGAAAAAAGAAATGGGTGTAGTTACTTTCTTGTTGTTACAATGAGGTTGTCAGGGTGAATGAAAAAACAGCATTGTATGCTTTTGAAGACCTGTGATACTCATCTTAAGGTCCCCGATAGGGTGCCAGGTGGTGCCCCAACCATTTTCTAATTCTCAATGAAAATCAACTGATTCACAATAATGTACTTTTAATATAAATTAGGCGCCAGAGTGCATAAAAAAACTTAGAAATAGAGCTTTTTTTATAAAACAGTGCCAGGAGATCTCCTCGGTCCTCAGACAAGGACATTTAAATGTAGTGATAGCTTTGGGACTCCCACTTGCTCATATCTACTGTCGGTCACCAGCTGTCCAGCATTAATGAAACTGGGAAAGTCTGACCACACAAGACAGGCTCACAGATATGCTAACCAGTCTTAAAAAAGTCAGTTTTCTGTTATGGCTAATGCTTGACCTGCGTGCTAACAAAGTAGCAAATCGTCACGTTAATTTAGATGGATCAACTTATGTCCTCATTTCTGTTCGCCAACGCATGGTTAATATGTTTAGTTCTTTCAACATCATAGTAGATATGTTTTGTTCTTCCAACATCAACATCATTGTTAGTGTGCTAACTGGCTAACTGGCTAAGTAGCGTCTTGAATCCGTCCTGTTGGTCCTCCAGTTTCCCTTTTTGAATGATAAATATGGGCTACTGCTATGGAGAGTTATTTCCTCTCACACAGGCACAGAACTACATGCTAGTTAGCTGTCAGCTATAGTCTTTGTGGTGTGTTCAGGTACAACTTTCTGACCGAGACAAGTTGACAAGTTGATTTCCTAAAATTTTAAACTATCCTCTTTAAAGTCAAATAATTTGACTAAATCAGTATGTAAATGTTTCTATCAGTGATCATGTGTTGACAGCTGGCCCTTAAGCCCGCCTTCAGGTTAGATGCATAACTGTGGCTATGTGTGTATGCTGTGTTCACGCTGTTCACTTCGTCCCAACAGGCAAATGGCCCACGGGCTGCAGATGGCTGAGATAGCCCAGTACAAGAAACGGAAAGCAGAAAGACAGCAACAGGAACAGCTTGCAAAGAAGAAAAACTGAGGTAATGTTATGCATTGCTTTAAAAATGTATAACATTACTGGCAACATGACTCCTCCTTTGGCAAACATTTGTTAGCACGAACTGTCTCAAGGTCTCACTGCAGTTTGCTTGCGTTTTAGTTGCATCTTGAGCTTGACCTGTTCGAAGTCAATGCGAGATGCAGCTGGTCAAACGATGGGTTCTGGTGCAAGATTTTGCTTTTATTTTTAAAATCGGATGCCTAGAAGTTCTATTTGGAGAAGAAACTAGAAACTGTTGATTGAATTTCAAAATGAAATCATCGAATTTCAGCAAAACCTATGATAGTGTCAATTTTTCATGTTTTGCCAACCAGACATTTCTTGCTGCAGGTTTTGCATTAAAGATTTCTTTGGAGTGGGTCACGTTGCTATTCAAGACACAAGTAAATGCAAATAGAAGACAGTAACATCTAGAGTCAGCTAGAAGCCAAGGATGTGGGGATTTTGTCCATGAGATAGAAAAATTTTGCTCTTTTCGTCAGGTGGGGGAGAATCACCATTTTGATGAGCTGGTCACTGACAAAACTCAGTTCTTCTACTTTACAAGTTTTAAAATGTCACATGTTCACCATGTTACCGTTAGTTAATGTCAGACTTGTTGTATCTGTTCTCAAATGTGACTTGACACCAACTGTCTTTCTTGTCAGGTAGCTTTATGGACAGCAGGCTAGTTCATTTTCACTACTATTCAGATGTTGACACTGAATACTTGACACTGGTTGTGTTTTTCCTAATAAAGACAAATGTACAGCTTCAATTTGAAGGGGTACATTGATTGTAAGGAACAAACCATTCACTGGAAACAAACCTTCTCAAGTTTAGGGGATACTTGTGGGTACCCATAGAACCAATTTTCATTAAGATATCTCAAGGTGAGAATTCAAGGGACCCCTTTGAAAATGGCCATGCCAAGTTGTTCCCTCGCCAAAATTTAGCCTAACTTTGGAGAATTATTTAGCCCCCTTTCAGAAGAGTTAGCCTGGTTGGAGCCTGGTTGGTTATAGCATAGGTTGGTATCAATGGATGCTTTAGGTTGTCTAGTTTCACAAGATACCGCTACATTCGCTCTAGCTTTAAAAATGAGCACGCCAATGGCTCTTGAATATAGTAATGTCAGCTTCAAATGATTTTCCGCCACTGGGTGGAGCTCCAAGTCTATCAGGGGCACTGTGGCCCTTTATAGTAATAATGGTCAGGTGTTAGTTTAGACTTTAATCAGGGTGGTAAATTCAAGCACTGGCACAATATTGGAGGTTCGATACCATTCATGTATCTGTGCATTCAGTGCCTAGAGCCAGGAAGCTTTTAGCTTAGCTTAGCATGAAGACCAGAAACAGAAGGATAAAGCTACCTTGGCTCTGTCCGCAATTGATAGATAAACCTACCTAGCTCTGTACTTTAGTCCCAGATATGAATAGTATCGATTTTCTTATCTAACTCTGGGCAAGGAAGCAATTCAGCTAAGGCAATCATTGCCTTGTTTTTATGTTTTAGGGGAGCAATTTTCCTTTCCCATCTTGCGTTAATTGTTTTTTCTCTCTGTCCTCTCCCTCCCCCATCCTCTCTCCTCCTCTCAGCACGCGCATCAGCTTTTCAGTGAACGAGTCGAAGGACCTGAAGCGTGCGTTTCACAAGGCGGTGAAGAAGATCTCTCATGTTCGCGTCGTGACTCAGCTCCCTGGGCCCGATGAGGACGACAACGTCATGTTGTCGCACCACTGACCGACCTGTAGTTTACAACTTTGCCTGGACTGGAGTTTCTGTTAGGACTGAGCTATCACATCACACAGAAGTGAAAACCATCCTGATATTTCCTTATGGAATTCCCTGCTAGTGATCATCCACAGCCAAAGGTTTCGGTTAGGTGAAAGTGTTAGTTCAGATTACCACTGTGTGTCTGTGTGTATTAACGGCTTGAGTCGAGGCAATGACGTCCCATGTGGAACTATGTATAGAGACAGAGGAGTGGTGACTCAGCAGAGCAGGGATCTACACAAACTGTCTGTCAGCAGCAGCTAATCTCTCCTTCATTTCCTCCTCCTTCGCTTCCCTCTTTCTCTGTCTGAGGAGAGGAGAGGAGGTAGCTGAAGTGAGGAGAGCAAATGAAGAAGGGAAGGATGGGGAATAGAGAGGTGAGGAGGCAGCAGGAGAGTAGATTTTAACTCCCAGCTTGTGAAGGAATGTGGCATCTTGGGTTTGTGGTCGGCTACCAAGTTGTCAAAGTTGGCAAAACACATTTATACTCCCAGAAATAGAAATAATGAAACAGTAGAGAGGCGACAGTAAATGACATTAAGATTATTGTAGAGCTGCGGGTAATGATAATTGTGATTCTCTGCCCATTATTTTCTTAATTGTTTTTCTATAAAGTGTTAGAAAACAGTGAAAAAGGCCCAAAAAAACTTCCTGGACTCCACGGTGACACATTCAGATGGCTTGATTTGTCTGACCAACAGTCCAAAGGCCAACTATATTGAAATTCCTTTAGTAGAGGACTAAAGGTGTGTGGAAAGTGAAGTGAAGTGAATCTTACTGTAAATAAATCCGGCACCAGAATTTTAATGGACTTTAAATAGTGTATGAATTTGAATTTTTGCAGGAAGGCTTGACATCTTCATGTGCAATGTGACTTTTTCGCCACAGTTTTCCATCTTGTAGCTCTGTTGAAATGTTTTATTTTGTTTACAACACCTGTGTCGATGTAAATACAACTTCATATCAGGCAGTTACAGTTACAGTTTAATTTTTTGCTTATAGTTGAAACCCATCATGAATAGGTATGAAATTACTGGATTATATTTTAGGATTTTCTTGTAATAGAAGTGATGAGTTCATTTTGTTTTTGTAACCAAACCTGCCTGACAAATAAAAAACTAAATCTCTGGTGCTCGAATTCAGTGTAAAGATGTGTGTGTGTGTGTGTGTGTGTGTGTGTGTGTGTGTGTGTGTGTGTGTGTTTGACATTAAAGTTGTCCTGTTAGTCAATGACATTGATTTTTAAACAAGCCCACAGCGCCCCCTGGTGATGCAGCAGGAAATAAACTTTGCTTAAACTACAGATGGCATCCTGGAGGCTCTACAGGATTATCTCTTCTGATCCTCAGTGTGCGTGTGTGTGTGTGTGTGTGTGTGTGTGTGTGTGTGTGTGTGTCTATAAACTGACAGGCAGCTTACCACACTCACTGATTAATTTACTTCATATATTTAACTGTTTCATTATATTTTCTGTGACTTGTATAAAAAAAAGCTTTAAAAGCTTTAATCCTTTTTTTTTACTGTAATTTATTCAGTTTGTTACGTTATAAAGACAATATACACACATGTTCATACTGACTTTAACACACACAGAGACACACAGTCGATTTAATAATTTGAAAATGCAAGTAAAGAGAAAAGTCAGGAAAAAAATGACCATATTTTATTTTGTTTGATTTATCCCATTCATCAGCTCATGACCCCTTTTAGGAGCCCCGACGCCCCTGGATGCATTACAGGCAACACACACACATACACACACACACACAGTAGAATGCTACAACCCCAGCCATAAGCCTATTGATGCTTTTTAAAGCCCTTTAAATTTTTAAATAAAAATTGTGTAATGGTGATTTCTCCACTGCACGTCCCAGAAAATCACCTGTCAGTCAAACAATGTAGGCGGGGCTGTGAGGGGGGTTCTCTTGATGCATTTGAGTGTCTGCAGGTGGTGCTGTTTTGTGTCTTGGTTACATTTACTGCTCACAATAACACTTCTTCTTTTTCGGTTTATTTCAAAAAAACCTTTTTCCCAAGGAGGATTACGAGACATCAAGTGTTTAAAATAGTCAATTTAAAGTTTTTCTTAAGGAAGGAAGGAAATGCTTGACAAGTCACAAGAAAGCAAAAAATACTGTGTGTATATCTAGTGTATTTTTGTTTTATTGTATTTTATGTAAGTACATTTTTTTCCTGTTACATCCGCGTAAAAAAAAGAAAACTTTAAAAGCTTTCTCCACTCTTCATTTATGTGGTTAATTGCCTAAAAACTGTCATTTTTAAAAGATATTTAGTCTGTAAAATAGAGGAATGAGCCTTAGTATTTTACAGAGGAGCAAACATGGCAACATGAATCTGCCAGAGGGCTCAAAAATTGTTTCCTGCGCCTCTAATAACGGCCTAAAATCAATAAAATTTTAAACATATTTAGTCTAAAAATGTAGTAAAATGAGCCTTAGAAACACGCATTAGCAGTGTGTGTAACTGTAATATGCAAATTCCTTTTTATGTCATTAAACACACCATATTTCCAGTAATATTAACGAGGACATGACCTGCTAAATGTTAGCTTCAGTCCTGCTTGAAAATTAGCTTCTGGATGAAAATCAAACCTGCAAACTACTGGTTGTGCTGCAAAGCTTCCAACTCTGCCTGCCTGCCTACATTTCTCTCCTAACTTCACATACATGTGTGTTTGACATGTTGCCCCGTAGACAGACAGCAACGAGCTCCCATCAAGCTGTCGTGAGTCAGAGTTATAGAGCTGAGATTATCAGAGGATTTATGCTGTTATCCAGGCGTTAATGGCAGTTTGTTTGGGGGCAGCAAGAGATTAGTATAGATTATGATATAGTGATATATAGAATAAGGAGGAATATGGATCGGAAAGATTACAGAATATTGAGGAATGGCAGATTAGATTTGGATTACTGGTGTAAGTGTGACCTGATGCTGTCCCGTCAGACGCATAGCAGCATGTTTCACTATAAATACACTAAAAGTCAAGCTCTTGTTCAAGAGCTCATGTTAGAACAGAAACATAATGACGCAAATAAATTTTCTCTGCATGAACTCTAAATATGAGGGAAAAAAGTTAATTGGATAGTTTATACTATATATTTTATAATAGGTTATTAAGCAACGTGCCATATTTAAAAGAAAAGGTCAACATTTTGTGCATTTAAGTGCAATTAGCTTCACACAAAGACAGCTCAGCTGGCACACAACCGACCTGCAACATTGAACTGGAATTTGAAATGATGTCAGTTGTTGTTTCAGCATTAAAACAACACTGAGACATTTCAATTCTGATGGTTGTAAAAAGGTTAAGAAGAATTCTCATAAATCATCATTGAAATTTCACAACACTGGGAAATCAACATTGATCCATTTTTCAAAATTAAAACATAATTCAGCAGTGATTCAACCATGGTGTGTGACGCTGATTCAACTCTGAATAAACACCACCAAGGAGGAAGCACAGTCTTTCACAGTTTTATACGTTCATACCTTGAAAACACTATTCCCACACACATTTATCCTACTGGTCAAGGGATGGAGCCATCACAGTCTCACCTCAAGAAACTTCAGGCCTCCTATTTAATGACCCTGCAGAAGCACAAACATGGGAGTGTGAGACAAAGGACAGAAATACCCCAAAGTACCAAAATTAGAAACCAGTAGGAGACCACAGTGTGGTTTCATGGAGACAGCAACTGGTCAGGACAAATATCACGGGTAAAAAAAAGACATTAAAACTCTCAGGCTAAAACCAAAGCTAAAGAATCACAAGACATTTTTTAAACAACCCAAGAGAACAAGTACAGGATGCTGGAAAAGCCGCAAAATATTCAATAATAAAGATTCCCAGAGCCAAAAACAGTGCAGACAAGACTCCCCAAAACAAGATCCCCAAAACATGCAGGGTTGAATTATCTTGGACATGCAGATTTGAACAGTTTGTTCTCAGTGGAATAAATAAACTGTGTCTGTTGAAATTGCATTGTCAACAGCGGCAGCAGCGGCGGTGTCGCAACTGTGCTTGTTCTGAAATAACAGACTGAGTCTGTAACAAAGGGAAGCATGCTTTCCTTTGTGTTTCCTGTGTGTGTGTTTCAGCTTTGTTGGCTCTGCTCCTTTGTTGCAAGTACAATAGGAGCAGAGGGTTGACTGTAGTGTGCAACACCGGCCAGCAGAGGGAGCTGTGTGATGTAACTGCAGGTCAGGACAAGGAATGGGAGGAGGAGCAGGGCAAGATGTGAGGAATCATCAAGTTCAGTAATAAGTTGATCAGAAAGATGTAAGGGTGGAATCAACTGAATAAACAACACAAGCAGCAAAATAGGTGTTAAAAATTTTAAAAGTTTATGTAAATTAATGTCACTTTCAGTCAGTTTTTGTTCTGTTTTTTTAATTCGGCAAGCCTTACCTCTATTAAGTGTTTTAAAGAGGAACCTGCCTGCAAAAAAGTTGCTCCTGAGCCTTTATTAGCTGCCTAAAATTATTTTAGTAAAGTAAAAGATATTCATAAAAAATAGTAGAATGACCCTTAGAAACTCCACATTTATCTCTTTATATCATAAACCATACTTTTTTTGTAATATTACGAAGGACATGACCTGATCAATGCTAGGTTCAACCCTGCTTGAATCTCTGTATAATATCAGTTACTAATAACAAAAAAAACAAGCATTTATAGTTTTCTACGTCAGGTACTTTGAGGCCCCAGATTTTTTTGTGTTTTGCATCATTTCAACCCAAACTGACAAAAAAACAGTTCTTGAAAACTTGATTTTTTTAAACAAGGACACTCGTCGAGACAGGACCTCGATGTTGGCCAGCTGTAATTTCATGTCAGCTGATACTGTGCTTTAGTTGACACACATTAAGCCAAGAGATTTAAAGCCATGAAACACTAAGAAGTGATGTCACCAGCTTCCAAGTTAGAGAAAAGAGAATGTAGTCGT